GAGATTCTCCTTCCTTTCAGGTTATCCCACTGTACGAGAAAGGGTCTCGCTTTCAGCCCACTACCGTGGAGATGGTGGATGGGGAAACCAGCCCTCCTCTGCTCCTCACAGAAGCAGATCTCATCGCTCTGATGGAAAAACATGGCATTGGTCAGTACTGGCAGCGTGGTCTTTTGCTTTTGGGAGTGCTTGGCTCATAAGCTCCTTCTCAACTTCTCTAACACCAGTTCTGTCCCCCCATGCAGAGCAGGGAATTCTCCAAATGTCAGTTCAGATAACAAATCACTGAAAGCTACAGAACAAAGGGATAGGAGAGACCTGTGGGCAACGTGCAAAGATCCTAAGGGGCCTGCAGAGTGCCTCCAGTACCCAGGGAGACCTGCAGTTTAGGGTCCAGGGTGCGTGTGCCAGCACCTCATTGGCCTCAGTGCCAGTGGGACACGAGGGTGGCGCTGCTCTAGGTTGTCTCCTTGTCCCTGTAGCACCTTGCACTCTGCAGCAGGAGTGGGGCAAATGGCTTTTTGGCACCTAATTCGGGGTACCAACCAACCTCTCCGCTTGCAGGGACTGACGCCACTCACGCCGAGCACATCGAGACGATTAAGACACGGATGTACGTGGGCCTTACAGCGGACCAGCGGTTCCTCCCAGGCCACCTGGGCATGGGGCTGGTTGAAGGTAAGGACAGCGCCTGTTAGGAACGTGGCAGGTTCCTTGCTTGTCTCCTTCCTTTCACTTACCTTGGATGTGTTTGTCAGGCTACGATTCCATGGGTTATGAGATGTCCAAGCCTGACCTTCGAGCCGAGCTGGAGGCTGATCTGAAACAGATCTGTGAGGGGAAGAAAGACAAATCTGTAGTGTTACAGCAGCAGGTCCAAAAGTACAAGCAAGTCTTCATTGAAGCCGTGGCCAGAGCCAACAAGTAAGTCCTATCTTCACTCTCTTCTCTTTGCTTTGGTGTTCTGCGAGGCACTGGCTTCTCATCTAGGGCTCAGCCTGGAGCAGGATCCTGTCACAGCATTTCCCTGGAGCTCTGCCCAGTTCATGTAGGCATTTGCATGGGAAGGGATGACTCGTGGCCTGGCACACTGTTAGGAGTTGGTGGCAACTAACTGCTCATCTTGGTTTAAACCCTGGAGATTAAAATCAGAGCTGGCTGAAGGAGGTAGGAACGTGCACTGACCTCTTTCCTGTTGTGCCCACGCCTAGCCTCATCCTGAGACGCGGAGCTGAGTTGAGATTCTCGTGGAGAAGCTAGAAGGCCAGTGTGGAGAGCAGCAGGCCCGCAGCGCCCGATCGCTTTTTTGCAGGGGAGACACACAGGGGGATGCTCTGCTTGTTTCTTTCTAGGCTGGACCAGGCCCTGGCTCAGTATTTTGGAGAAGCCACAGAAATTGCAGAGCAAGAGGAGGTCTACCCAGCGATGCCCGTTTCTGTTCGGAAGTGCCCCCAGTGCAACAACGACATGGTGCTGAAGAGCAGGAAGAACGGCGGGTTGGTGATCTTCCCTCCTGTAGAAAGTAGCCTCCTGCGTCGGTTTGTGCTTTTCTAGGTGTTGTTTGCTTACCTCCCCCTCTGCAGCCAGCATGAAAACAGGCTGCAGCTAGCTAAACTCCACCAGTTCTGTGAGCTGTGCAGACTCAGCCTAACCTCTCTTTTAAATACATCTTTGCCCTTAAAAATCGCTGTTCTGGCAATTAGTGACAGCTAAGAAGACAGGAGAACAGACCAACCATTGTCTTGACGTTGCCTCTTCCTCATTCGGTGCCTTTGTCCCACGGCAGGTTCTATCTCAGCTGCACGGGTTACCCAGCTTGTAAAACTGCCGTCTGGTTTCCCGATTTCGTGCTGGACGTGACCAGGGATGACAGCATCTGTGCTGTGTGTAAACCGCATCCAGTTCACAGGTAGGTCACACCAGTTACCCTCTGGGGAAACGCAGTCCCTTGGATGTTACGAGTTACCCATCGGGGCCAGAGGCTTCCGTGAGCCAGGCTGCGCAATTATTTTCCATTCCAGTCTTGGAAAGTTGAAGCAGCACTCCCATGGTTTGCGATAGAAAGAAGAGGGGTTGCAGAAACTACTGCAAGTGCAGCAGAAATTAAAAAAAATTAAAAAAGAATAATCAAATCTAGGTCTGTTGTGGAGGAGTTATATGAACTGGGAAGATTTCATTCTTCCTTTCTTTTTAGATTGAAGTTTAAATTCAAGAGAGGCAGCGTTCCGCCCGTGATGCCCCTGGAGTTTGTTGGTTGCATCGGAGGCTGTGATGAGATGCTGAAAGAGCTCTTGGACCTCAAGTATTTAAACAGGGCGTCCCAACCTACGTCGTCAGGCAGCCAGCAAGGGAATCAGTTGCGGGTCAACAACTCCTTTAACAGACCTAGCGCTGAAAACAGGCGCGTGCGGGGCTCCACAAACCCGGCCCTGGGACATCTCTCTCTGAGCTCAACAAGGCCTGCTCCTTCAGCTGCTCCGGACGACAGGAACAACGCGGTGGTGTGCAACTGCGGCAACGAAGCCCTGCTGCTAACCGTGCGCAAAGAAGGGCCCAACCAAGGCAGGCAGTTTTATAAATGCGGCGCCAGTACCTGCAACTTTTTCCTCTGGGCTGATGAGCAGCCAGAGGACAGACGTGCTGCAGCTCCACAGGGCTCTGCCCCGCTCCAGCCCTTTGCAGGAAGGGGCCCGGCAGGATTTCAGCACCTAGGAGGAGGAGGGAGAGGCCCGGAGGTCTTCGGAAGCAACGGCTCTGATTCAGGAGGCGGCACAGTCTGCAACTGCAACCAGCCAGCCGTCACCCGCACCGTCCAAAAGGACGGGCCCAACAAAGGGCGGCAGTTCCACACCTGCTCGAAACCCCGCGAGCAGCAGTGCGGCTGCTTCCAGTGGGCGGATGAAAACGTGGCACCAGGTGAGGTGGGGCTCGGTGCGAGATGCGGGGAGTCGGAGGCTCTTCTCGAAGCTAAACTGAACGTGCTCCTCACACGTGCGTGATGCTACCGCAGTGTGACAGCTCGTGTAGCAACTCGTACGTTTAACAGACTTCAGGTTTGTCTTTACCGCCTCGCAGGAGCGTTATAACACTTAAAATATTGATTCTAACAGCTTGAGTCTGGCTTACCTTTCCAAGTGCTGGCAGGTTATGTCCTCGTAGCACGCATCTGCTGAGCTCTGAGGAGGATTCTTTGCTTCTACATGCAGTAAGCCCGAGCCTCTGCCTGTCCGTGACTTGTTGGGTGGAGCCCAGCCCTCTTCCCAACAGCCTGTTGGGGAATTTGTCCTCCCAAATCATGGTGCTCAGCTTCTGAGAGCTGTTACAGACCTGGTACAGAGCAGTGACATTGTTGCGGGGGGATCTTAAACCCCATTCTGTCACACCAGGGAAACCGTGCTGCTCCCTCTGCCCTAGTTTAGGAAGGCAGTGAAAGGCCAAGTCTCTCTGAAGCTTTGATCAGAGAAACTGGAGTGAGGCTGCTGTGGAAGGATGCTGAAAACAAGTACCCGTAAAGAAAAGGAACAACAAAATAAGGATGTGAAAGAAAGAGCACTGGTGCAGAGGGACAATAAGCAAAGGACAGAGGTGGAGGATGTGTTCTGAGAGAGAGCTTCAGCACTGGCCTCCTCCTCCTCCTTAGACATTTGGGCATAAAGGCATAGAATCAAGTTTCCAAAACTGCTTAAAAAGCAAGTTTTCCTCTGGCATGCTTTGTTGTTTCTGCATCAGCTGTAGGCCAGAGCATGCAACTGGGCAGATCCTGTTCTGTTCCTGCATTTCTTGAATGCTGCAAGACAACCGGGTGACATTTAGACAAATCTGAAGCAAGTGTAGTTTCAGGAATAACCTGAGTGTCCGGGGTATTAAAATCCTTGATCTGCCATTTCAAACTTAACTTCTGTTTCTCACCTACTTATGTTTTCCAAAGGTACTTAAATGCAGTTTGTTTCTCTCCAGGTCCTTCTGGAGATGTCTCTTCGAACCAATTTGGCGGCAGAGGGTTGGGCAGTAAAGCCAAGCGACCAAGCAGTCTCTCCTCGGGAGCCGCTGCCAAGAAACCACGGACCTGTAGCATTTGCCACCAGCCTGGCCACACTAGGAAAACCTGTCCTCAAAACCACTGAGCCTGGACAGACAGACATCGCTTGAGAGCCTGAAAGGCCCAGGGTTACGAGCAGCTAGAGGAACCACCACCTCTGAAAGGAACTGGAGCCTAGAAACAAGTCCGTCGAGCGCTTTCTGGAAGGGCTGGTTGGAGCCTGCTCCTGCCAGGGGACACCATCCTCACGCACTTGTTACGTGCTGGGGCAGTGTCTTTGAAAGGCGGCTCCGCTCCTGGCCTCAGCCTTTTCTCTTTTCAGCTGCCCTTCTGCTGAGCAGATTGGGAGAGTCTCAGCATTTCAAGGAAATGTTTTGGAGACAGAATCTGCGGAGAAAACAGTGCTGGACCTCATCTGCCCCCAGCTCCCACCATGGCAGCCGCCGTACACAGCCTTTCGACGCGAGGAAGCTCTGGATCGTAACTGCTAGGGTAGACACAGGGGTTGCTTAGCTCTTCTCAGTCCCTGGCTTTCCACAGTGTGGAATTTTAAGTTCCTGTCTAAGTTACCTGAGCCACATTCCCTTTTTCTGTAACAGTGCCATGCTCCTTACCTTGGTCGTCCCTGCCAGGGAAGAACTCGGTGCAGAGAAGCTGGAGCTGGCCCTGAAAGGGAAGCTGAGCTGCAGTGCTCAGGAGAAGCGTTCATTTTAGACAGTTCCTGAATTTGAAACCTCAGACCTTGAGACACGCCTCTGTGATACTGCTAGCTAATGAGAGTTATTTTTGTCAAACTAAATTTCCTATTAAAAGATCATTTAATTTAAAAATTTGATACAGTGACAATTCTGCCTCATTATTTCTTCCTGCTTAACGCTGTAAAAGCATCCACCCAAATCTTGCTCTTTCCACTCACTCATCGGAACAATACAAAAGCTTTCTTCGCAGGAACTCCCCGCGTTTAGTTCAAAGTGACCTGCAGAGGGGTAGGGAAAAGTGGTTTCATCTCACCAGCTGCATCTGCTGTCGTTCTGCTGCCCAGGGACGGACGGACAGGCAGCTGGCTGGACTGAACAGAGGTGCTGTTCTTCTGCACTTCGCTTGAACTCCCAGGGAAGCCAGGCTACCGCCCTCCCTCTCTGTTGGAACTTCCTCTGCACATCAAAGAACATAGATCCACAAGATTCCAATTGCCTCTTCTGCCAGAGGACAGCATTTGGAGGGGTTTTTTTCCCCTCACGGCCTCCGATGCTGCTCAGGACCCCACTCCCCGGCACAGATCGGTTCCCTGGGGTCAGTGGTGCTACGGAGGTGACACACAGCACACGGAGCAGCCAGGGTGGGCTGGAAATTGAGGTACTTTCTGCAGAGGGTTGCTAGAAACAGAGGGGACCATAGCAGGTTTGCTTTGAGATCTGCACGAGAGAGAGCCTTGAACTCCACAGCAGCCGTCGCTCTCAGACCCAAACCTACGGTGTAAGGTCAGGAGAATTCAAGTTGTGCTTCCCCGTTCCCCTCACTCCCACCATTAACAGCTGCAGCCTAAAAATACAGCCGTGCTGGCCGAAATAACAGGATTACGC